CGAGGATATTTTTCCATTGATATTTTTTAGAGAGTGGAAGTGAGAGGGTAAGGCAGAGAGAAACATTGATGCGAGAGAAACACATCGATTTGGCTGCTTCCTGCACACCCCTTACTGGGAATGTGCCACAACCAAGGTACATTCCCTTGACTGGAATCAAACCTGGGAACCTTATGTTTGCAGGCCAAGAGCTCTATCCACTGAGTCAAACTGGTTAGGGTGCTAGGAATGTCTTGTTAACCTCTTAGGAATAGGTAAGTTTCTAGATTTGGGAATGGATTTTTTAGGGAAAGAGACTGGGGCTCTGAGAGGGAATTTTTTTCTGAAGGTCACATAAGTCTTAAATATTGTAAGTAGTAAATATTAGAACCTAGCTGATATATATAAGAAGCATAAGAGCATAGTAGTAAAAAGAGCATGGGACTGGAGAAAGATCACATGGGCTTAAACCCATTTTCTGCTTCTTAGTAGCTATGTAACCTTGGGAAAGTCATTTGACCTCTTTTTGCCTCAGATTCCTCATCTAAAAAATGTTGACTACATTAAATAATGTACTGTATGAAAGAAGAATATGTAAGTTCCTGGGACATAATAAACACAGTTATAATAAAAAAATAAATCATAGCTATTATTAATGCCACCAGGACAGCAAACTATTCATGTGATAACCAAGTATAATGAACCCTTTTATACTTGCTTGACCAATTCAGAAAAGATAAATGAGAACTAAGTTCTCCACATGAACAAAAGAGTAGAGTCGATTGAAGATACTACATTCTGGGAACATTCTTATATGGCATAACATTTTCAGAGCCTTAAATATTACCAGTTGAATTTATTTAAGTAGCAATCTATTCAGACTTCTGAAATAAAGGATTTTCCTTTACTGAAAAATATCTATTTTATCTTAAGCATGAAACCCAGTGACCCTGGCTTGGTAGTCTCTCCAGAAGCTTCCGCTATATCTTTATGCTGAGCACAGTATAAAGATATAGATTGAAGCACATTTACTTCAGATAGTATAGATTGGAGGCACAGCTATGGGTGCAAGTGGGCCATGAAAAATGCAACCTCAACTCTCCCCTTGAACCCACAGTAATTTATCTCAAAAACATTGTTGAGCCCCCTGAACTGTGAAGTAAGTAACTTACTCCCAGTATCTTTAAATCTTCTGCAGGGGACAAGCCAGCACTATGCCTTGTGCACTAAGCATTTTTGCAACATGGCTTAGAACTGTGAACATCACCCACGATGCTTCAAGGGGTGATTCTCTGAAGGACAATGTGCCCAGGCTAAGTTCTCTCAGGGAGCAAAATACTTTGTAAATGAGAGAGGAAATGAAAAGTCAGCTGCAATGCCTCATTGGATCCTGATGCTCCCAGACAAAAGGGGAAACCACTTACTCACTGCAATAATATTTTCAGTGCTTTATTCATTTATTCCCTCTCTATATTTTCTGAGCACCTACTCTGTGTCTGGCACTGTTATAGGCACCGAGAGTAGGAAATAACACAACAAAGTCTATCTGTTCATGAAGCTGACCCTCTTTGTTCCACCTACTGTAATGAGGATGCACAGATGGATGAGCCCCAGCTCTTCTCTGCAGAATTCAGAGAAAAGAGGGGGACAGGGAGAAGGCAGTAACAGGTGGTGTGGTAGGGGCTTTGGAGCTACTCATGACCTCTGAAGATCATTGAGGGTTTCCTGAAGAAAACAATCTCCAGGATGACTCCTGAAGGGAAAGGGGGAGTTAACCAGTAGTCACTATAGGCAGAGAGAGCATCTTTGCCAAGGCCTACAGAAATAAGAGAAACTGCAGTGGCTTAGTGTGCTATATGACCGGATGGTGACCGATAGAGACCAGATGATGAAGGGTCTTAGAAACCATGTTACATAGCTTTATCCTAGGATAATTGGTAGCTATTGATCAATGTCAATCAAAGAGTGACATGAGCAGATTTCAACTGTAATATAGGGAATAGACTAGGAAAAAGCAAGGCTGGCATCAAGGGTACCATAGGGGGAATGTTGCAGTACTAAACAGATGAGGAGCAATGTGGTCAAACAAAGGCAGTAAAAATAGATAGGGACATTGGTCACATCTGAGAAATATTATGGAAGTGATTTCCTGGAAGTGAGTGGTAAGGAAGAGGGTGGAATAATAGCTGACTCCCAGGTGTCTAGCATGGGAAGCTGTACAGAGGATGATGTCAGTCACTGAGAGATGTACAGAGGTGGAGGAGCAAATTAAGAATGAGAAACTATGACTAGTTCAGTTTTGAACACATTGAGTTTGGGGCAGCTAAGTGGAGGTGTTCAGTAGGCAGTTGAATAGCCTGAAGATCAGGAGATAGCGATGGACTGAAGCGATCCAGGTAAAATGATCAAACCCTGGGCAGAACCCACAGCCAACATCATACTCAATGGGCAAAAACTAAAACCATTCCCTCTAAGAACAGGAACAAGACAGGGATGCCCACTATCGCCACTCCAATCAGAAAGGATATATGCACCCCTATGTTCATAGCAGCACAATCTACAATAGCTAGAATCTGGAAACAGCCTAGGTGCCCGTCAGCAGATGATTGGATCCAAAAACTATGGTACATCTACACAATGGAATACTATGCTGCCATAAAAAGAAAGAATTCTCATCATTTGAAACAACCTGGATAGAACTAGAGAACATCATGCTGAGTGAAATAAGCCAGTCAATGAAAGAGAAATACCACATGGCCTCACTCATTTATGGATATTAAAGAACATTATAAACTGACAAACCAAAAGTCAGATATAAAGACAGTAAAGCAACAAGCAGACTGTCAAATTACAGCGGGGAGAGTAAGGAGATCTGGGGGAGATAAGAGATCAACCGAAGGACTTGTATACATGCATATAAGTACAACCAATGGACACAAAACTCTAGGGAGGGAGGGTATGTATAGGAGGGGGGACAATGTTAAAATATGTACACAGATAATAATTTAATAAAAAAATAAAAAATAAAAATAAAATAAAAAACCCGGGGCAGGAGCCTGAAAAACACCACATTGATGTGAAGTGGTGAGCACAGACATGACTAAGCAGGAAAGGTCAGAAGGCTAAGAGAAAAACCAGGGTCTGTGAAGTCAGAGAAAAGAGAGGGAGGAAGGAAGGGTTTCAAGAAGAATGAAGTCATCAGTATCAAATACTAATAGAGGTCACTCATAGTAGGCACTGAAACTTGTCTATTGGATATAGCAACAGAAAGGTCATTCTTTAGTAGGGTGACCATCTGTCTGGTTTGCTTGGAACTGTCCCAGTTTATGCCTATTGTTTCAGCGTTATTATATTAGTGCCCCCTAGCATCTAAATTTGAATAATAATTTACATGATCATCCTGGCTATTGGTTGGTAAGAGCAATCAAAGATAGATTGCAGTGAGGTAGGGATGAATTGGAAGAGGGAAACATCAAACAAGGGAACTTTTTGAAGGGGGTGTGGTGAGGCTGCTAGAGAGGGAATTTTAACATCAGGTGGTCATTGAACTAGATGGGTTTTGAGTTTCTTCCATTGCTTTATTTTTTGTTGTTGTTTCCTTTCCTTCCCTTAAAATCAGTGAGAATCAAGAATCTGTTCTATTTCTTGTCTCCACACATTACAAAGCTAAATGCTGTTTTTGCAAAAGCAGTAAAAAGCAGAAATGTGCAAGTTGATTATTTCGCTTAAGAAAATACTGCTAGTCCTAAATTAAGCAGAGAAATCACTTTGGCTTTTAAATTACTTTGTATGATAAAGCATTAGCAACAATAATTAGGTTGGGAGTAAATATTCTGCCTTTTTTTTGGAGATACTATTGTCTTAGGAATGCTAGGGGGAAAATCCAAGCCTCCAAGTTCATTTATGCCTTCTGATTTTTGGAGCTTCCAAATTAGAACAAACAGATGTCTGAGTTTAAACATTTATACTTACAGTGAGAAAGATATGGGTGCCTCTCTTTGTACCATTTAAGTGGAGAAGTCTTAAAGAATGTATCTGAGATGATTAAAATAATCATTGTTATGAATAAAGTCATATCTCAGAGCAACAATGTATAAAAAATGGAATCATGTTTGAGCCCATATAGACATTGTATTAGGAAGTTTTGAGTCCTTTTGCCTTCCCTGCAGAAGTTTGACAAAGACAAATAATAATGCCCCTTGTAAATGTCCACATGTAAGCATCCTTCTCCAGTGCTGTTGCATTTGATTATTGAAGGTCAGGCTTCCAGTTATAAGGCTGCCCTCCCCCCGCCCCCATAGTTGTTAGTTCAGTTTTTAGTAATTAGGTACCTTTGGAATTAGGTTGGGGTGACCTTTAACCGTCCCTATGTTATTGTTAAGATAGAAATAGCCGCCCTTAAAAAAAGTAGGGGAGGGGGATTCTTTGAAAGATACATCTATTTGAGGAAAGAGGCTAATGGGAAGCAGTAAATTGTCCTGCGGCCATAATTCCTCTGCCATAGCTGGGCCTGTGAATAGCCCCATAAAGCATGCTGCAGCAGAAAAAGATCTTTCTTCTTACTCTCTCTCAGGGCAATTAATAAAAGTGCAATCTGTTTCTAATCCGACGGCACACTATTATGTTAACTAGTCAATGTAACTGAAAAATTCCCCAACATATTTCAAACACTTGCATATTATGTGTTCAGTTTGTCAATAAAATTATGCCAAATGAACCCTTGTGAAGATAATTTACTCATTGTCTGTTGGATACCTAATCTAACAGACTGGAAGCAGAATGCACTGCTTTGATATCTCAGATCCATTCATCTGCCCATCATCTCTGTTTTGTTTCTCTTGTCTTGCAGTGGCCATGGCCTCGGTTCTGCTTCTCCTTTGGAGCGCCACCACCACATAGGACCTGGATGTCCTACTGTCTCCCAGGAACAGAACGAAGACCCTTGCTCTGTCTGTTTCCGTGGCCGCCTGGAAGTAAAACAGCTGTGGAGTGGGCCAGGGTTTCAGCAGACCTTCACGTGAATGGGACCAGTTTCTCTTCTTCCCAAATATCAGCAATTAAACCCTTGGAAAGGCGATTTGGCCAAGATGACCCATTTACAGGCTGGACTCAGTCCAGAGACTATAGAGAAAGCTCGCCTGGAACTGAATGAAAACCCAGATATTTTACACCAGGATATTCAGCAGGTCAGGGACATGATCATCACCAGGCCTGACATTGGATTTTTACGCACAGATGATGCCTTCATCCTGAGATTTCTCCGAGCCAGGAAGTTTCACCAAGCAGATGCCTTCAGACTCCTGGCCCAGTACTTTCAGTACCGCCAGCTAAACTTGGACATGTTCAAAAACTTCAAGGCTGATGACCCGGGCATTAAGAGGGCGCTCATCGACGGGTTCCCTGGAGTGCTGGAAAACCGCGACCACTATGGCAGGAAGATTCTCCTGCTGTTTGCAGCCAATTGGGACCAGAGTAGGTAAATGTAGATAGCATCTTTGTTTTTTCTTGTTCATGAGCATAGCCATTGCATGTTGGGGCTTTATGGCTTTATAGATAGTAGGCTTTCACTAAAAAACAATATATATTCCAGCCCAGCAGGCATGGCTTAGTGGTTGAGTGCCAACCTATGAACCAGGAGGTCACAGTTCAATTTGGGGCATATGCCTGGTTTTCAGAGTCTAGAATTTGGTTAGGTCTGCAGTTGAGCTTGGCCTGTCTGTGTTTCTGCTCTGTTAATCCATAAGTGTTCATGATGAGCTCCTCATTCCAAAGCATTATTTATGAGAAAGATTTCCGGATTTTTATAGTCTGCTATCCATCATTCACTCAACAAACATTTAATGAGTATAGACCAGTGGGGGGCAATTTGATTTTTAAGTGGGCAATTTGAGAATGAGTTATTAACAGTAAGTCTTTTTGCATTTCTTATGGTTCTAGGGGCCTCATATACAGTATATAAATATGTATTGTGCCATATTTATGCATTTCAGTACTCTATGATATGGTTTGAAACTTCATTTGCTATTTTTCATATCACTTCATATTATTATTATTGTTATTATTATTATTATTTTAACAATTTCTTAGCAATTTCTTCCTCAGTACTTCAATTGTCCTTTTGTTCTTTTATCTTTCTCTGTCATGGATGCCACATTCTTTGGAAGCTTGCTTTAGACCAACTTAATGGCCTTTTATGCTTCCTCTGTGTGAATAGGAGTTTACCTTTTTAATAAGAATTATATGTCACAGGGAAGGCATCAGGATTTTAGAGTCGCTTTAGGTGGGGCATGGCCAAAAAAATTGTGAGAACCACTGGGATAGACTTTGTACCAGAGCTTGTACTGGGCACTGAGGACAATGGTGAAAACATACGGTCCCTGCCAGCCAAGAGCTCCTTGTGCAGCCCACTGTCCAGCAATGGTGCAAACACGTAAGCTGCTAACTCTCGTCTACCATGCGAGAATTCCTTCTGTAGCACAGCCTGTCAACACAGGACGTCAGTCTTAAACTAGACGGGATGGCTGTCCTTTTGAGAATGGCACATTAACATTTGGATTTGAGAACAGGAAATTGTTTGATGATTCTGGAGAATAATCAAGCTGACTTCATTTGTGCTTAGTTGTAAGTGTTCTAGAACCTCCATCTGCTAAGGCAGATGATGCATAGACAGGAGCCCGTATGTAGTGATTTACACATAAAGAAGTAAGCCATAGCAAAACATCTTATTTTCCATTAGCATTTGGCCTGTGTATATATCTCAGAATGCCTTAAGAATAATAAATAGCAATATGAAGCAAGTCCTTGAGAGAATAATCCAAATGTTTACAATTATGATAGCCTTGGATGAACTACCTCATTTCTTTGTTCCTCAGTTTCCTCAGGTGTAAAATAAGAAGCTTGAGGTACTTCCTGAGTTACTTTCCAGCTTTAATGGCTCATGAATGTGAAGCTCATTTAGCCTAAAGCTGTGAATGGAAAGAGATTTTAAAATTCACATTACAGGCTCTTAATCCACTAGGCGTTTGGAAGTAATCTCTCCCTTTTTCCCACCAAGGCCGGGTCTACTTCAAACTGTAAAAACGCTATTTGTTCTCAGTATTTTGGTTTTCACAGGAAGGTGAATGATGCAACTATGCCATTGACAGCCAGAGGTCATTAGAAGCAAACAAGCCAAGGTTAGAATGTGGTCACACTGTCATGTGATTTATTGCTTATACTAGTATGACTTGGGGCAAGCAACCTCTCTGGGTCTCAGTTTTCTCATCTGGAAGATGGGGATGATAATGATGTCTGTCTAATAATGTCATTGGGAGGGTTGAATGAGATCATGCATTTAGGAATACAGCTCATTATTTGGCACCTGGCAAGCCCTTAATATTAGCTTTTGGTAGTATTATTAACATTATAAAACATCCCACTGCAAAAATAAGAGAGCAGAGATGGTAAATACATTAAAAATGTAGACAGGAGTACAATGCTTGAAAATGGGGTGGGCCGATGGGTGCCATCTGCCTGCGCTCCCGTCCGAAGCACTTGTTTGTTTTCTCCCCAAACATGTTCCCTGTTACCCAGAGCCAGCCTAAAGGGGGCCCTAAAGGCCTGGGGAAGTTGGCACAGCTTTGCCAAATGATTACTTCACTCTCGCTGGGGGCCTGTGGTGACTGGGAAGTGATTTGAATGTCTCATACAAAAGGTTTACTGAGATTAAAGTGGTTATTAATATTTATTAAACTATGTAAATCTCATTCTTCCACACCCAGACACCATGAACAGAAGTGTATAATGGTGAAGGCTGGGAGGCAGGATCATTCAGAGGCACAGCCAGGGCCCATCTGCCTGGATTAGGTGTGCCAACTGAGGAGCAGGAGTGCTCTGGGCTACGGAGCACAAACTGGTCTCCTCCAGAAACGGGGCCATGGCAGAGAGCTGTCTGGCTTCCATGGTTTTCCGAGGCTGCCAGGATGAACTGAAATGCATTAGATTAAATCAGCACCCACATATTCATCCATAAAATGAAGCTTTCAAGGTCAGCATAGTTTACATTTCAGCTCATCCGCTTGGACTGTGATAGTGACTGAAGGGGATGCTATTGCTCAATGAGCCTTTTGATCTTTCTCACCTAAACTCATATCAGTCTTGACAAAAACCTACAATTTTCTGGTTAAGGTCTGATAAAAATGAAATCTATTTCTTACTTTTTTCTGAGTTGCACACTTGCACGTGGCCATGCAGCCCGACTGGCCGAGCATGCTTCCCATGGATTTTACTCAGTTAAAAAGTGGAAAACTTGGTCAAGTTATTTTCCCTTCTGGAATATCAATTTCATCAAGTGAAAGTGGGTGTAATATCTGACCTGGGGAGCTGTTGCAAGGATGAGCCCCAAAGGCCCTACTTGATGGTGTCCAAGAGGCAGAATAGAATCGTGATTAAATGCCCTCCCAACCAACCATGTGATCCTGAGCGAGTGGCTTCAATTTTTACTACCATCAGTTTCTCACCTGTAAAGTGGGAGTGATAATGATCATAGGCTGGTATAATTGGTGTTCAATAAATGGCCAATGTTTCTTAAGAAAAAAAATTCAAGTCAGGCCAATACCTACAATCATAGGTCACAAGATGTAATTTCTAAGGGTGGCAAGATTTGATGCTATAACCAACTTTTCTCAGCTTGGAAAAATATGAAAGATGCAACCGAGACTTCAAGCCACTGAGTTCCAAAATTCTCTGTGCTAGCTCAGAGACACTTCATCTTAGGGTATTTATTATATTCTTAGGATATAAGAAAGACATTTGGGGAGTCCAGATAATAAAGGCCCCACAATAGATGACAGTAACATCCATTAGTACTATGTGTAGACCAGCTTGTCTCCAAGTACATTAGTGGGGGGGGGGATAAATCACAAAGTATAAAGTTACACTTGAGATTCTTTTGTCAGGTTATTGTTTGTTTATCGCAATTGAAAGTTCAGAAATCAGCAGCTAGGTTGTAAATTATTTGGAAAGTCGGTTCTGTAAGGAAGCCAAGGCACTGTAAGGAAAAGCTAAATTAGGATAATTTAGTGGAGAGAAAAAAAGGGCTGAAGAATAACTTGGTTACTCCTGACAAATATATGGAATTACTCTAAGGAGGCAATTAATCCAGTAGGCTCTTTTCCCACCATACAGAACAAGGGATAAAAGGCTTGCATTAAAGCACAACCAACTTCACCCTGGCTGGCGTGGCTCAGTTGTTCAGTCATTGTCCCCATGCACTGAAAGGTTGCTGGTTCAATTCTGGCCAAGTCACATGCCCAGGTTGTGGGCTTGATGCTTGGTAGGGGTGTGTAGGAGACAGTATATCATTCATTGTTTTACTCTCACATGGATGTTTCTCTCTTCCACTCCTTTCTTCCTCTCCGTCTGAAAAACACACACACACACACACACACACACACACACACAAAAAAAAAAAAAACACACACAAAAAAGGCACAACCAACTAGGTTGGAGATTAAGAATCAGGACACGGGTGAGGGAGTGGGGCATTTGCCGAGGATGCAAAAATTTAAGAGGCCACCAAATCACTCAAAGTAAATAATATTGTCATACCACCTGGCCAGCATGGCTCAGTGGTTGAGCGATGACCTATGGACCAGGAGGTCATGGTTCAATTTCTGGTCAGAGCACATGCCCAGCTTTCCAGCTTGATCCCCAGTGTGGGACATGCAGGAGGCAGCCAGTCAATGATTCTTTCTTATCATCGATGCTTTTATCTCTCCCTTTCCCTTCCTGTCTGAAATAAATCTATATATATAAAAAGCCAGTAACCAGAACGCTGTAATGACAAGAAAAACAGGTAGTTATGATGCCCAATGCAGCCAGCAAACTGGCCAATGTGGGGTTGAGGCATCTGGCCAACCTCTCACAGCCCCTCCTCCCAGCCGGCCCCACCCCTGATCGCCTTCACCCATAAATAAATAAATAAATAAATAAATAAATAAATAGGACTAAAAATATCACACAATATTTTTTAAAATAAAAATTCAAAAAATTCCTATGAATAATACATCAACATTTTTAAGAAGGTGGAATAAGGATTATTAGTTTTTCCTTGTGATTTATGCTCCAACAAGTTCAGCATAGCACTGCTTAGTTCAATCAGATTTCCCAAGAGAAGAAAGAGCCTTAAGTTGGCTCCTATTCAATTATATCATACTACACTAGAGGCCTGGTGCACAAAATTCATGCATTTGTGGGGGGGGGGTCCCCTCAGCCCAGCCAGCACCTTATCCAATCCAGGATCCTTCGGGGGGATGTCCAATCCTGGGGATGGGGTGTAAACCAGCAGTTGGACATCCCTCTCATAATCTGGAATCACTGACTCCTAACTGCTCATTTGTCTGCCTGCCTGATAGCCCCTAACTGTCCCCACTGCCAACCTGATCACACCTAACAGCTTCTGCCTGCCAACCTGGTTGCTCCCGATTGCCTCCCCCT